ATTTCTATGCCATGTATTTCTGTGCTTGAAGTATTTTTCAGAAATATACTAAAAAATAAATCATTCTTGCCGAAACCGGTTTGGCTCAGTGGATAGAGCGTCGGCCTGCAGACTGAAGGGTCCCAGGTTCGATTCTGGTCAAGGGCATGTGCCTTGGTTGCGGGCACATCCCCAGTGGGGAGTGTGCAGGAGGCAGCTGGTCGATGTTTCTCTCTCATCGATGTTTCTAACTCTCTCCTTTCCTCTCTGTAAAAACTCAATAAAATATATTTAAAAAAATGAACCATTCTAGTTACTATGTTTTACTTTTATTATTATTTTAAAATATATTTTATTGATTCTTTACAGAGAGGAAGGGAGAGGGGCAGAGAGTCAGAAACATCAACAAGAGAGAAACACCGATCAGCTGCCTCCTGCAAACTCCCCACTGAGCATGTTCCCGCTACCAAGCCACACGCCCCTGACCAGAATCAAACCCAGGACTCCTGAGTCCGCAGACCGACGCTCTATCCACTGAGCCAAACCGGTCAGAGCTATGTTTTACTTTTAAATATAGCAAGTTAGAAGACAGGAATTGTTAGAACTAGCCCTAAAATTGAAGATATTCTAATTATTTTCTATTTCCCACTTTCCAGGCTAATAAAAGAAGCAGCATGGCAATCTGGACAAAAAATGAACTTTATCTTGGATATCCTTATCTTAAATTTGTCAAAATAATAGATACTAAAAGACTGAGGGAAATCCTACATGTACTCCCGACTGCTACTCTGACTATACATAATATTGAGTATACAGCACACCCTCTGGAATTTGGCTTGTTCTTAAATATCTGTGTTACATGTAATGTCATGAAAAAAATTCACCTAGTGATGTATAATGAAGATTCAGAACAGTGGGTGCACAAAGACTTTTCATTAAACGTCACGATTGACAGTGTTATAACTGCATATTTTCTGCATTCATCAATACCAGAATTAATAGTATGGGACAAACACAGGATCTACTATTTTTATGACAATTTCACGACAACTGGAGTTTTACAGACACCTACAGAATTTGGGAATCTGTCAAAATTATCACATGACAGTATTATTCATAGCATTTTTATAGGTGAGCCATTCTCGTTGTGCAAAAAATAGTCTTGATTTCGTAATACATGACTTTCTTACGAAGATGTAGCAAATCTAAATGCACGTTAAATATTGATAGGTAAAAATGCACTTCTTACCACCTAAAAATGGGTATCAGATTCTACTAACATTAACTGTGATCTTACACAGCAAACTGGCAAAATCATGTTCTTTTCTTCAGAGGTTCGTTTTGGTCCATCAGCAGATACGAAATAAGCAACTCACATGTGCATTTTCAGTGTAGAAGGTGATACGGTTTTATTGTTTCCCTAGGGCTCCTATAACAAACTGCACAAACTGGGTGGTTTAATACAACAGTACTGTCTCTTAGCTCTGGAGGCTAGAAGTCTGGCATTCCCAATCTCTACCTTTGTCATCACATAGTATTCTCCCTGGGTCTTCACGTGCCATCTTGTTTTAAGGACAACAGGACCCCCCCCACACACACACACTCCAGTATGCCCTTGTCTTAACCAAGCACAGCTGTAATGACCCTATGTCCAAAAAAAGGGCACATTCTGAAGTCATAATGAGAGTTAGAATTGGATTGTCTTTTTTTTTTTCCGGGGGGCGGGGGGGCGTACCAAAATTCAATGTAGAACAGGTAGTGTTGAATGAACCTGTATTTGAAGCCCTGAACAAGTCATTTAAACTTTCCAGGCCTCGGTTTTCTGATCTAGAATATAGGCCTGCTATTATAATTACCTAAGGAATTGTATACAAAATGCTTAGCATAATGCTGGACAGGGGTAAACCTCTTAATAGTGCAGGTGTCCCTCGTTTTATTGTGCTTCTCTTTATAGACTTCACAGATACTGCATTTTTAAAAAATTGAAAAAAAGAACCTCTCCCAGCAAAAAGCCACAACTTGCTGAAGGTTCAGATGATGATTGGCATTTTTTAGCAATCAAGTATTTTTGAATTAAAGTATGTATATTTTTTAGACATAATATTACTGCATACCTACTAAACTACAGTATAGTGTACACATAACCTTTTTCAATTATTCTTGGCATA